GACCTCAATATTGCAGATGCCGAAGTGTGAAAAATGTGCCTCTCAGAAGTGATGAAAGAGTTGGTTGGATTTTGCTTTGTGATCCCCACTGACAGGCTTCCTGTTCCTGGGTGAATTTAGCCGTTTTCATCGTCGACATAAGAGAGTGCTTGCTCTTGGTTTTGTGTATTGTTGTTTGTTTTCTGTTTTTATTGCTCCTTTTGGTTCTTTTTCACTGTGTGATCTGTGTTCTCTCTTTTTAATGTCTATTTCTTCTACATTCTTGTCTTCTACATTCTGTGGTTACCTTTGAAGCTCTTTAGACCATAGTTAATGCTTTTTTTGTCTTCATCCACCTGAAAAGTGAGGTAAAGTTATTATATTTCTTTTCCTTAGCTCTTCCTTTACAATCGCTACCTGGTTTTAGTTGATTTTTTTCTTTGGCAGGGTTAACTTGGATGCCTTTGAATATGGCGCACAGCTTGTACTTGAGTTTTCGGTTATATCTTACTCAATTCTGTCCTTAGGCTCGTGCCTGTAGAACATGAGAAAATCAGTAGCTTCTCTCCCTCTCCCGTCTTCTCTTCTTCCCCACTTCTTTTTTTTTTTTTTTTTTGAGACAGAGCCTCAAGCTGTCCCCCTGGGTAGAGTGCAGTGGCATCACAGCTCACAGCAACCTCCAACTCCTGGGCTCAAGCGAGTCTCCTGCCTCCGCCTCCCAAGTAGCTGGGACCACAGGCGCCTGCCACAACGCCCGGCTATTTTTTTGGTTGCAGCCGTCATTGTTGTTTGGCGGGTCCGGGCTGGGGATTCGAACCCGCCACCTTAGGTGTACGTGGCTGGCGCCTTAGCCGGTTGAGCTATAGGCGCCAAGCCCCCATTTCTTTTGTTTGGATTGATCTTAATTGTATTTCGCTCTGGACTGTAGTCCCACATGTGTTTATGTTTTGGTTCTGTGGTTAAATGGATTCACTGCCGACTGACAGCCCCTTTGCGATGGTTTCTTCATCTTTTGGGGGGGGGGTGCTGATGTACATTCCCTGACAGTTTTTATTTTTTAAACAAAAGCCTTCTATGAATAAAAAAATTATTACCAAAATCTATCTGTGGCTATTTTGTGATTCCAATGTCCAGAAGAGATAAAGGAAATAGAGCCGGAAAACAGGTTGGTGGTTTTCTGGAGGCTGGAGCAGGGAGACGGGAATACCTGCTGACAGGTACCAGGTTTCTTTCTGAGTTGATGACAATGTCCTGAAATTAGATTGTGGGGATGGTCATGCAATTTGTGAATATACTAAAAACCATTGAATTGTACACTTTAAAAGGATGAACTGTATGTACGGTATGGGAGTTCTATATCAGTAGGAAATAATCTACGTGCGGTAGTAGAATCAGATAGTTCTGTGGTTTTACAAAGAACGGCCAACACCCCTTCTCTACTTCTGCCTTCTCCCAGAGGCAGGCTTGCTGATCTTACAGAATTTACCTACCTGTCCACGTGGTGGCCTTCCTGGCGCACTGCATCAAAAGGCAGATAACGTCTGCTTGCTCTCCTTGTAACATCGAGATCAGTCATGCATGTGTTCAGCTATTAGCCAGCCTAAACCAGCCGTTAGGAAGTTCCCTATCAGCCTTTTGTCTAATGATTTTAGCAATAATTGATGATCATTGCCTAGAGGTTGTACAGGGTTATGGAATCTTGTCACCTTTTCTGCATTCATTACCTGTATTCTTCTATAAAAAAGAACTTTGTTTCATCAGCTGTTGACTTAGTTCATTACAGTTCATGTGGGAAAGACCAGATAAATGTTTCATTCTTCCCCTCCTGCACTTTTTTTTTTTTTTTTTTTTTTTTTTTTTGACAGAGCCTCAAGCTATCCCCCTGGGTAGAGTGATGTGACATCACAGCTCACAGCAACCTCCAACTCCTGGGCTCAAGCGAGTCTC